GTTGCAACAAGAGGTTATATATAGGTTTGAGGTGGGTGTCACCGAAGGGTAAGTAGGCGGGGTCAGAGATGGAAAGGAGTCCCGTCGCCGCACGCACGCACAACAGCTGCATTAAAGGGAGAGATTGGCATGTTAATGTGAACGAGTTTAATGGGAAGATAGCATGTCTGTGTCAGAGGACCGGGCATAGCGCCACCTAGTGGGCAACACAAGCTGCGGCGTTGGCTGCTGCACAGTGAGAGGCCAGCGTATCAACGCAAGAGAACCACCGTAAACTTCAAATCAAGATTAAACAGTATTTTTGTTATACTCTTGGTTCTTTCGGTAAAGTCACGTAGGTTAAGAAAATAAATAATAATTATTAAACATAAAAATAAATAACTTTAAAATCACGACGTTTCGATTGCAACACAAGCAATCATCATCAGGTGTGAACACCACAGCAATTTTTTTTCTAAAGTGGGAGAGATGCCAGAAGGCTATATAAGTCAAAGAGAGGGGGGTTGGGGGGGAAACGGAGGGGGGGCGGATAGGGAGCGAGGGGAGGGCGCCTCGTGGACGCCAGGGACTGGGAACGCGAAAATGGGCGGGTGGGGGGGGAAGTCGGCAGGGCCAGAAGCGAGAGGCCGAGTGAGCTAGAGATGCGCGGGGAGGAAAAAATAAAGCGACGCAGCAGCTACGAACTACAGCCAAAGCCAATGAGGGCACCCAAAGCGAAATAGCAGCACTGCTAAACGCTGGAGATGAAATTAACTAGGTAAAATAGACTGGTATCCGATAAATAAGATGGGACAACTATTAACAATTATTTTTTTTCACCTGGTTAATAACATCTTTCCAATGAATTCTCAATTTGTATCCTTCTCCTCGGTTGAAGTTATGTCTATGTTTGTATATCTGGATGGCTTCATGAACAAACCTTTGATAGTAGCCAGACGGCTTCCAGAGCACTTTGGTCTCGGAGAAAACAATATTATGAGAGCCCGCAGCGTTGTAGCAGTGATCAGGAAGAGTTAGTCCTGCCGTGTTTCAAATTTGCCTTGTGCTCGCGAATACGGTCTGATACATGACGTTTCGTTTCCCCAATGTAACAATCACCACAAATGCAATTCAGTTTGTAGACTCCAGGGTATTGCAAGTCAGGAATGACATCCTTTACAGATGGGATTAGATCACGGATTTTGTGTACTATACTGAATCGGACCTGGAAATCTTTTTGGTAACGCCTGCTATGTATGGTAACGTGATGGCTTTGATGGGAGTCTCAGGGGGTTGTGTCTCCATGGTTGGAGACATCTTTCACCTGAAAAATAATTTCAGATGGAACACCTAATTTACAGTAGCGTCCAATGTTATGCTGCCCTGATCCTGTATCATGTTTATATGCCAGTTAATACTGTTGACCCAGATTTCGCTGAGAAATGTATGTATGTTGAACTGCTTTCCCATAGTTCATTGCCCTCTACCGCGCATGGATTTAAAGCAGCAGATTAAAGATGTAATTTTCGATTCATCAATTCAGTTGTCTGCTCAGAAGCAAGTGGATCTCGTCCATTCCTCCTTTAAAGGAGTGAAGACAGCAGCGGCGGAGTGTTTACGATGCGGTCGATGGTTTGAGATTCATGGCCGCACTCACAGGTCGCCGAATATTTGATGCATCATTTGTGCATCGGGTGGCCGCATTGGCCACACCACCCGGTCCTGATTCGGTTGATGGTCGACCATTTGCGGCGTGGAAGGTTGAAACCGGGAGGTTCGACGGTAGGGTCCTGTACGAAATGTTTATTTTTGGACGTCGGCCGCAGTCCAGACTTGCTTGCACCTCTCACCTTCATTTGCATTTGTGGCGTGGAGTGAGGCTGCTGTGATTCAGAAGGGGTGGCGTGATTTTAGGCGAAAGGGTGGCGCTGGGTTTATGTCCCGATGTATCGGAAGGTGCGGGTTGACGAGCATTTTTTGGTACTCCCCTTACATTAAAGTTAGGAGGAAAATATTATTTTTATTTTTTTACAATGTTTACACAAACCTGTGCTAGGTTACACTATCCCACTAAAACATCTATTTTATACTACAACAGGGCCTTGATGTTGGAACAACGCATGGGAAGCCAACGACCACACTTATGCAATTTTCACATTGGCCCCTTGAAGTCACGACTGCTTCTGGGAGTGGCTAAGCTAAAATAATGTAGCTAAATTTGGAAAGACAACCACATGGCCCACTTAATGTGAGCCACTTAAAGAAGACCATGTGGCCCAGTTAGTACCAGGTTGGCCCAGTGTTGTAGCCCGCATGGCCATCCACCGCATGTCCAAGCAACTTCTTGTTGGCCAGACAGAGGGGGTTATATAAGTGTAGGGGTGTTAAAGAGAGGGCCCGTTATGCATGGCAGCCTATGGAAAACAAACACAGTGGGCGGGGCTACGTAAGTGCACGAGGAGGTGTCCTCTACGACGTCCGAGCCAGACACCCTGGGGGGGGCTGGTTCGAACGTTATGATCCCCCGGGGCCCCACCCCTCAGGGAGGGGTTGGGTATAAAAGGGGATGTTTCAAAGGGCTCGGCAGTTATGTTTAAGCTAAGGGAAGAAGATTGAAGACGTCTTAGATAGAGCCCTGGACTCCCCTGGTTCGATGTCCTTTTCAGGGCCGGACAGGATTGAGCCAGCGGCGTGGTCCCGAAAGCCAGAGCCGGTGCTCTTGTAAGAGCTGGTCTGGAACTCCGGGTACCGGGCCCGACTTACCAGTGTCGGGCCAGTTAGCCTCCCCTAGCCCATTAGTGGAGGATTCGGGGCTAGGACAGAGTTAGCTAGGGGTGTATTGCGAGTTATACGGGTGAGGGGGCCGATACCCCCTCGAGTGTGTATATGCCCACTGTCATATTGTGAATAAACATACGTGTGCCTCAACCTCGGCGTCAAGCGTCCTCACCGGTACTTCATAAGCGTGGAATAGGTTAAAAAGATGGACTGTGATACAAAAGGACATGTAGCTGATCTGAATCGCGGCAATGACTGGTACCAGATCAGCCTCTGTGAAGGAGGGTCGTGAACGATGCTGCTGGGCAGTTGGAGGAAGTCGCCCTCCAGCAACAACACAAGGGAGAGGAGCGATCCTCAACAACGAGTGGAGCTGCAGGCGGCTGGCTAAAACACAGCAAATTGGCACAGTGGGGAGCACAGGTGGTGCATCTGCCAGTCATCTCAGTAAGTCAATCCATTAAACCTGCGGTCTATCCTGTGACCTGCCAGCGAACCTTCGGCACATTCACGTGGTCTTAAGGTGCACCGATGATGAACAATGACTGTTGTTGTTGGGGGTATACACCAACAGTAGTCGCCGTGGTGACGTCACTGTCACTTTGGAGCAATAGGGGTGGGTGAGGACAATCGGGGTGGGTGAGGACAGTAGGGGTGGGTAGAGAACAATAGGTGTGGGTGAGGACAGTAGGGGTGGGTGGAGACAATAGGGGTGGGTGGAGACAGTAGGGGTGGGTGGAGACAATAGGGGTGGGTTGAGACAATAGAGGTGGGTGAGAACAATAGGGGTGGGTGGAGACAGTAGAGGTGGGTGAGAACAATAGGGGTGGGTGGAGACAATAGGGGTGGGTGAGGACAATAGAGGTGGGTGGAGACAGTAGGTATTTGTGTGATGACTTCACGAGAACGACCAACATTAATCTTAGTATAATAACAATTGTTTTACCGTACTGTTTGTACGCTCTTGATGTCTATGCTCCCTATGCCTTTCACCAACAAGCAATGGCTAGCACGGTGAAATATCAAACACGGCATGGCCAGCTTCTCATCCAGCAGCGGATTGACAACAGGGTCGTGCATGTATAGAATAATGATACAAGTAGCACCAACTCCTCTTTCTGTACAACATATCTGCATTTCAGTTATATCGGCCCTTTGGTACATCATGCACTTCAATGGTTTGCTTTCATTCAAGTGCTGTGCTTAGAACACGGATTCTCAACAGTGCACCAAATGAGTGAAATCAGTTTGAACCGAGGATAATTATGCTGCCCATTGTGTGGATAGTGTGCGTGGCCATTAGGAGCGTGGGATATGGAATGTGTTGCGTGTGTCAGTGTACTAGTCGGTGTACTCACAATTACACCACGGCAGCATCCCTGTGCATGGTGGGGACAATGCGATGTGATTGCTCATTGATTCTGTAGTGTAAATAAATATTTTAAATGTGGCTTTTTCCGATTTGCATTTTTTTCCCACTCCCAGAAAATACACCATGTGGATGACTGCCAACATACAACCACCGCATACCTCCGAAACACAAACATACCAAACGATAAAGACAAACATACCAAACGATAAAGACTACCATACAAATTATTAAGAGTTGCTAAAAATAGCCGTTCTGTTTTTGGCGCAACCAAGCGGCGTTTTTGCCAGGACCACTCAGAATTAAGTTGGCTTCCTTGACACCACAGGGGCAGAGCGCGGCCGTGTAATCCCCAGTGACATCCAGTGGTTAAAACCAGCGCAGCCAATTTGCAGAAGGACTGCGGTGGATTAAACGGTTATCACGGAATAACACCAACCCGCTCCAGTGGTATGTAATGCTTGGCAGTCACATGACAGCCCAGAGCATATATAAGTGTCTCAACCCAGCACATTGGGTTTGCACAGACAGAACGCGTGGCGCTGGGTGAGTTCATTAACGCGTGCATTTATGTGCGTGGGGAGGTGTGTGTGTGAATTTGGGGAGTGGTGGCCTCAATGTAAGACCACTTTGCTCTGAACGTAGTGACCCGAGTTGGATTCATGCATGCGGCTTTTATCAGTGGCCAATGTCTAAACCTTGATTAAGCCTTATGTGATACAGTTTTGCATATGAATGGATTATTTAATTAAAACATCTGAATATATGTGCTTAAATTGGAATTAAATGTGAATTTACTTTTTATTTGCTTTTCTTCCATAGGGTGATAACAGAGTGTAACAGGAAAAACATAAATAAATTAGTTCAAAGCACAATGAACTATACATTGTATACAAATGTGCCAATCAATATGTTACTATTCGGCACTCTTCTCTCACGACAACTCACGAACGGCAGTGAGGCCCCGTTCAGCGGAGACAATGGGAACATCACGAATGGCTTTTTTCTCAACACATTTGGAATGGCCGGAAACTTAAACTGGATCATTTTTACAGGGTGCCTCGTAATGCAATTATTCATAATTGTGGCCAACTGTCTAATGATGGCCACCGTCCTGATAAGCTCAGAGCTGCACGGGTCCATGTACGTCCTCCTCTGCAGCCTGGCAGTGGCCGACATCACCGGCAGTGCGACCATCATCCCCAAGCAGCTGCAGATGCTGGCGAGCGACAGCAACGAGATTTCCTACGCGGCTTGCATGGCCCAGGTTTTCTTCATGAACATGTATATGTGCAACGAAACGCTCTCCCTGTCGTTCATGTCAATCGACCGATACCTGGCCATTTGCAAACCACTGCGCTACCACGCCATCTTCCCCGTGAAGAGGTCGTTGCAGATATTGGCACTGGCTTGGTTCTCCACGGCCGTCGTTAACGCGACTCTGTCTGTGCTCATCGCGAGGCTGAAAATAAACGGGGACAACAGATTCATCGAGAGCCCGTTTTGTTACAACATGGCCATTATTCTCATAGCTTCCTCTGACACAGGTGCCAGCCATAAGTACTTGTCGGCAATCCTGTTGACCTTTGTGGGTCTGCCACCTCTAACGCTAATGTACTCCTTTACCAAGGTCTGCTTTGAGTTCAGGAAACCAACATCACCTAAGCTGAGCAAGAAGGCCAGAGACACGCTGGTAACTCAGCTGATTGTCACCCTCGTTTATTTCATCTCCATCGTGACTGTAATCCTCCGACTACGAATCGCGCAATTTAACAACAGCAACGTCCATTTCAGGAACATAAATCACACCCTCAAATTTTCCATCTTCCTGCAACCGGTGGCGAACATTGTGACGTACTGCCTGCGCGTCACCGCTTTGAGGAGAGCGATGGTGAGATCTTGTCAGAAATGTGCCATTGGAATTCTTTGTCTTTTGCAGCCTCAGAGAGTGTGGGCTGCAGTCTGAGGTTGGTTATTGGAAAAAAAACATGTTGCCATTGTTGACGAAGGCACATCTCACATGGCTCTGAATTCACGAATCCACATTCGTTCATTTAGGCAACTGCGCAACACTACATTGGACAACTACGATCTAGAGAAAGCTTGAATTCGAAATCTTTATAAACCAAGGTTCAGTTCCGTCATACAAATAATCATCTGAATGCCCCATGGAAGTGAATGTGCAATACTTACCCTCAAGGATCCTTCACTCGCTCCAAGTATCCAAACGACAGAGGTTGCTGAAAAATTGTTACTCATTAGCGTTCGGTCACAATACTATGCAGCTTTCACTATAGTCGAGCATGAAACTTAAAAAAAATGTTTTTATAGATTTGTGAAATGTTACCCTGGTATATGGCAAATCAGAGTCAAAGTGATGTATTTTCATTCAGCGTGAGGCCTGTTTACAGCCCAAAGCCAGATGTGTAAATTCCACATTGATATGGTGGATAGTTTATATATGTCTACCTCTGTTTAGCCCACAAAGTGGTAATTGTTTCGTCGACCCAAGTGTGAAATATAAAATAACTTTTTAAACAGGCGAGTCAAAAAATTATATTTTTTTCAGCAGGTCCCTGCATTGCGGTGTTAAGTCAACAGCAATGACATTGCGTTTTCAGCTGTGGGAATTAACCAGAAAACCTGGAAGAAACTCATGCCGTACAGGGGGAGAACGTACATATTCTACAAAAAAAGGCGTGCGCGCTATGTTAGGAACCAAACCCAGGTCTTTCTTGCCGTGCGGCACAATTGTTAGCACTGCACCACCCAGCTGGATTAAACCATAGCCAGGATTTGAACTCGTAAGCTTCCACTGCACGACCACGCTGGGGGTAGCACATGTAAAGTTTATTTTTAATCATAAACTTTTAAATATATATTTTACTAACTACATATGTAATATCACATTGTCATTTACACCTGTATTTCATCACACCGTGCTTATGAAAAGAATATGTAAACAATGCATGTTAAAATCGGACATATAAGCGTGCTCAATAAATATATCAATTAGTTTTTTTCTGTTGATTACAGTGCTTGGGGTTTCATACGGAACGAGCATTCCGTGAAATGACACCGAAGAGTTATTTTGCTTTCACCGCCCTCATCCTCTGACTATCCCCTCCCCTCTCTCTATGTCCTTTTCCCCTGGGCTGTAATTAGAGATTCTGACACCAAGGCAACCTGGACTGCGACGATGCCAATTACCGAATTTGTTTGAATTTCAAAACCAGCAGGGGGGGGAAATATTGCATCTGCATTGCACTTGAAAAGCATTGCCTTCCTTTCAGTTGACAATGGGGCACTGGATTCCAAACTGCGAATAAGAAGTGTTTTTGTGCTCAACCTCAACTGAATAATAATAATAAAACGAAACGATGAATGCGAGGTACTGTACAGCTGAAAAGACTCTCGGAGGGATATTTTGGTCGTCAAGTCGCTTTCGCCCTGTCTACTGTACATGCCCACCCCCACCCACTGTACCCACCCACTGTACCTGCCCACCCCACGTACTGTACCCCTACTGTCCCCACCCCCACCTACTGTACCCGCCCACCCCCACCTACTGTCCCCACCCCACCTACTGTACCCGCCCACCCCCACCTACTGTCCCCACCCCCACCTACTGTACCCGCCCACCCCCACCTACTGTCCCCACCCCACCTACTGTACCCGCCCACCCCCACCTACTGTCCCCACCCCCACCTACTGTACCCGCCCACCCCCACTTACTGTACACGCTCAACCCTATCTATTGCGCGCCACGTTGGTTATGAGATGAAGACGACCTCGCCTGGTACACAGGAGGACGTGGGTTCGATCCCAACCCTGACGCCTGCTGCTGTATATTTGTAGTTTGCGGTCTTTCTCTCTCTCCCTGTGGATTTTTCTCCCGGTCCTCCGGTTTTCTCCCTCCACATTTAGAATGAACATCAAGCATTTAGAGTGTTTGCCTGCTGGTATAATTCCCCACGTGATGATAAGCCACTTCATTGAGATATCACTTGTGGTCATGTCGCTACTGAAAAAGAGCTACATAGCTCAGTGGGGCCTTGCCTGGTAAAATAAAAAATGTTTAGTCCACACCCACCCCTACTTAATGTCCCTACCACTTACTGAAGGTGTGGGGCCTAAGAAGGAGCTGAGCCGAAAGTAAGAGGCAAAGTCTCATGAGGAAGATATGGGGCCAAAGGAATGGGGACGTGGAGCCTAAATAGGAAGTGGTGGGGCCTACTGAGGTAATACGAACATATCTAGCCGGTGTGGGCTTACCAGTGATGTTTCGTATGTATAATTTTGCACTCGGAAGCATGTTGCAGTCCAGAGGTCCCAGGTAGATGTTCCTGTATCTTGCTGCTGCACGCTGCGTATTCGGGTGTTCTTGCCACGTTAGTGATGTATGTTGCTTGTCAGTTTTTTGCTTTCGTGTGAGGTGAGGGTACGCGAGAAGCAGTTAAAATAGTCACGTTTATGGGGCCCCTATGCCATGCTGGGCAGGCTGAGGATGGTTAAGCATAAACATCATTTAGCTTAGCTGCATAATGTTAAATTAATATTTTATGAAGCGTGGACTGTCAAGACGTGGAGACAGGTAGGGGTTCCAGGCCTTGTATTACACCTCCATCACGCACTGCGCCCTCCTTCATCCACAGCTATCTCCCCCCTCACTCCTACCGACGTACACTCTTATATCCACGGCCCCATCTCGCGTTCCCTCCTCCTCCCCCCTATGGGGGGCTGGTAGAGCGGGTGCAGGGATTGTGACGTCACCATGTAAGGGGGGGGGGGGTCGAGGAATGCCGAATGTTCATAAAGTGAAATGGTACAGTAGTCCTTCAGTTAAAAGTGACCATCGGTTAACGTTTTTTTGCGGTTAACGTTTCGCCTCCCACAAGATCCCCAAGGTGTCTACTAACGTTGACATTGTGATGTAACGTTATGTGGCCCCCCCTCCCCCTACTCCACACCCCCCCTCTCCCTCCCCCTTGCCTCTTCCCCCCTCTCTTACCTATATAACCTCTTGCCACAGCAGCTCTTCCGTCAGCTGACTTCAGCATTTTCCTGCTGTGGTTGTCCCACCTGATGAAGTTCGCTTGTGTTGCGATCGAAATGTCGTGATTTGTTTTATTTGATTTTATTCCTACCTACGTGTCTTTACCGAAAGAACCAAAGAGTATGGATTCCTGCAGTCACGAAAGCTTCAAATCAAGATTGAACCACCTCTACGGGGAGGGTTTTCACACATCTGTTACAGCTTTTAACAGACTACGAGACAAGAAGGCTCACATGATCGAGTCTCTCACCTATCTGAAGAGATGCTGCGACAGCAAGGTAATACCGACCACATTTCCACTCACATCTGCTTCTGTCACTTCTCCTAACTCGAAACGGATCTTATTCAGAGCTACCCTATCTCTAATCTCAGAGAGGATAAGACTACTCCGTCTTAAACTTGATAATTTAGACAAATGTCTCCTACAATCACACCTAACATTAAAAAAAAATGTCCACATCTGATTGGAACCTTGTAGATAACATGACTGCTTCTTCTGCCGCAACAATGTCCTCCAAATGCATGGTTAACCTTATTGCTAAATTCAATAACTTGTCAAAAAAGAAACCAGTGCCACACATTCGAAAGCTGGATGTTAACAAGACTGTTATCAATCAGAGTAACAGCACAATCTTCGATAGCCTAAAATCGGTAATAGCTAGAGGGCTGAATTTTGCTGTCACCCCCAAACACATCCCAGTGGATGATGTAATTGCCTAGGTAGATATAGCCCTCAAAGGCTTGGGACACATCCCAGCTGACATGGCAAGATCTAAAACTGCCACCATCCTTAAAAATGCTAAGAAACCCATTAGTAACATCAGCAAAGACGAGCCCTCTGAACTCGCCAAATTGAAAAAGAGAGAGGGCATAGTTATCCTCTCAGCCGACACGGGCAATGCTACTGTCATGGATAAAACCACATATAACAACAAAATCCAGGACCTTCTGAATGATGGCAGTTACACCAAAATTAACAAGGATCCTACCAACCGCCTGGCTACAAAAACCAACAATATCAACAATTTGACTTCTCTAATCGAACCATTCAAGTGGCTCTCCCTAAAACCCTCTGCTGCTAGACCACCCAGATTCTATGGTCTTCCAAAAATCCCTAAAGAAGGTACTCCACTTCGGCCCATAATTTCCACTATCAACACACCTACCTACAAACTGGCCAGATTTCTATCTGAGACCTTGCTTCCATTCACGGGCAAGACTACCTCAGCAGTACGTAACTCAGCTGACTTGGTCTCTCTAATCAAGGGCATCTCACTGTCTCCAGATGATTTGCTTGTCAGCTTTGATGTAGTCTCTCTGTTCACCAAGGTTCCTGTACCTGACACCTTAGCAATAATTGAAGACTTGATCCAACATGGACTGGATCTTGATGTAACAACTTTGGTTAGGCACTGCCTTACCAACACTTACTTCACCTGGAATGGTACTTTCTACAAACAAAATGAAGGTACCCCCATGGGTACCCCCTTATCACCAGTGATAGCGAATATTTTCATGGAGAAATTTGTAACAGATGCCATCCAGACATCCACCCTACGTCCTTCCTTGTGGAAGAGATACGTAGATGCCACTTTCGTCGTTTGGCCACATGGCCTGCCAGCATTGAACCAATTTCTCAACCGCATAAATTCCATATACCCATCCATCAAATTCACCATGGAAGTCGAAAAGGACGGTAAACTACCATTCCTGGATGCTCTGTTTGAGAAGAGGCCTGACGGCTCGTTGGGACACTGTTTACAGGAAAGCCACCCACACAGATTCCTATCTAAAACCTGATTCCCACCACCATCCGGCACAGAAGAATTCCCTCGTCAAAACACTACACCATAGGGCCCACTGCATCTCCGACCAACACCACCTAGCCAGTGAACTGGAACACGTACACCAAGCCCTCAAGATGAATGGGTACTTGGACCGCATTATTGGCAAAGCTGTTTCTCCAACCATGGAGAAACAATCTTCTGAGAATCCAACCAAAACCATCACTTTACCATACATAGCAGGTGTTACCAAAAATATTTCCAAAATCTTAAACAAACACAAGATCCAGGTCCGATTCAATACAGTACACAAAATCCGTGATCTAATTCCATCTGTGAAGGAGGTCATTCCTGACATGCAATACCCTGGAGTCTACAAACTGAGTTGTACCTGCGGTAGCAGTTACATTGGGGAAACCAAACGACATGTCTCGGACCGTGTTCGCGAACACAAGGCAGATCTGAAACATGGCAGAACCAATACCTCTGCCGTAGCTGACCATTGTTATAACGCTGTGGGCTCGCATGATATTGTTTTTTCCGAGACCAAGGAACTCTGCAAACCTTCGGCCTACTATCAAAGGTTTGTTCATGAAGCCATCCAGATATATAAACGTAGACAAACTTCAACCGAGAAGAAGGATATAAATTGAACAATCATTGGAAGGACGTTATTAACCAGGAAATGCCTTAACTTGTTGTTGTTTCCATCGTACCTGCCAGTTAACTGCGAGCCCCGCCCACGTCCCCCCCCCCCCAGCCTCACTTTCTCTTCCACCACCTTCCCACTTCTAGCCCCGCCCACTTTCACCCTCCCAACCTCACGTCCCCTTCCCCTAGCGCTCACGCGGCCCCCCTCCCCCTACACCACACCCCCCCCCCTCTCTCTCTCTCCCCCCATTGCCTCCTCCCCCCTCTCTTACCTATGTAGTGCTTGAGATACGCGTCACGCGCTGGGGTCGGTGTGCGCGCACGTGGCGGACAGTGAGAGCAAATGAGGACACAGGGCGCTGATTGGCTGGTCGTTGTTGTCCAAATTAAGGCGGCGTGATGTCTAAGGGTGGTAGCAGGTGGCAGGGGGTAATTAAGGGTGCAGGGCGCTGATTGGCCGAGAGGGGTTGTTGTCGGAGAACGGCGCCAGTGTGTCTGGAAAAACATGCCACGTGGCAGCAGGGGCTGGGGGCGAGTGGCGTCGCGGGGGATGCCCTGATTAATTAGGGATTAATTGGTTCGGGTTTAAAGTCAGCGGTTTGTGGAGGAGACGGGAGTTCGCGCCTGGGAGGAGACAACAGATGGAGAGACAGAGCAGCAGAGCGAGTACAGCATAGGGTAGCAGTGGAGAAGTGTAGCGTAGCAGTGGAGAAGTGTAGGGTAGCAGTGGAGAAGTGTAGAGTAACAGTGAGACGACGAAGAGTAGGAAGCGGCTGGAGCGAGGAAAGAGAGCTAATGTAGTTACGACGGAGTGGGACGGCGGAGCTGATAAGGAGCAGCCGAACTGGGACGGAGAGAGCGGAGAGGAGAGTCGACGGAGGAGTAGAGGGGAGCGAGTGAGGCCGGCGGAACGCGGCGAGCGAGCGTGGAGAAGAGTTGTGGGTCGGTGTGAGCGGAGGAACATTGAGCGATGTTGACGGAGATGTTGAGCGACATACGCGAAATAAAGTAACGAGGAAAGACAAGAAGCTGTCGTGTCGGTTCGAGCACTACACCTATATATCTACTTGCCACGGTAGCTCTCCCGCCGACTTCAGCATTTTCTTGCTGTGGTTGTCCAACCTGATAAAGTTCGCTTGTGTGATTTGTTTTATTTTATTTTATTCCTACCTACGTGACTTTACCGAAAGAACCCAAGAGTATGGATTCCTGCAGTCACGAAAGCTTCAAATCAAGAGTCAGTTAAGACTTTACCTGGTTAATAACGTCCTTCCAATGATTGCTCAGTTTGTACCCATCTTCTCGGTTGAAGTTGTGTCTGTGTTTATATATCTGGATGGCTTCATGAACAAATCTCTGATAATAGCTGGTGGGTTTGCAGAGTACCTTCGTCTTGGAAAAGTCAATTTCGTGTGAGCCCACTGCTACCCCCCCCCCTTCTCTCTCCTCCCCTGCAGCCGACCTCTCCAGTGCTGCCGCGGTGGTCCACTTTACTCCAGTGACCCGGGTGCTGCTGCGGGGTCCACTTTCTGCCCCGCCTCCCCCCCCCCCCTTCTCTCTCCCCCCCTACTGCCGAGGCCTATATAACCTCCTGCCACGGCAGATCTTTCGCCTACTTCAGCAGTTTTTTTCTTGCTGTGGTTGTCCCACCTGATGACGATTGCTTGTGTTGGGATCGAAACGTCGTGATATATTATTTTTCTACCTACGTGATTTTACTGAAAGAACCAAAGAGTTTGGCTTTTTTTTTACGTTTTCTGGTTTGGCAGAAATGTAATTCCTATGTTCCATTAACAGTTATGTCGGTTAACAGTAGTTTTCGTGGAATGGATTAAAAACGTTAATCGAGGAACAACTGTATTTGTTATACTTAAAGCAAGGTTGATTGATTGTTGACTTATTGGCGAATTCTAATTTCATACACAATAAAATTTGAAACTAAAGTAGTCATTAAATACATATATTCGTTGTAAATATGTACATTGAACTTACTCTGCGCACTATACGTAGCCGATCGTGCTATTCGGAGGTGCGTTGTGGCTATTTTGGCATGGGTTTCGGGCAATACAACACTTGTGACCTCGGTTCCATCTGCAGAGAGATTGAGCACTGTGGTGTGTGGTGGGTTGATATGGTGGTGTCTGTTCATTATCGAAGTTACAGGATGTTTTATTTTAAGCGTTGTGTAATTTATAGTTTTTCGATGCTTTAAGTAAAAAAAACTGCATTGGGAACCTCATGGCCGCATTTATTGAATTTAATTTGCGAGTGTTAACACCTTGTCGTTTTGGTAAACTGGATGAAAATCAATAAATTTTAAATGGAAGGTGATTAAAACTTTTAAAAGGTAAAAATAAGCCATATTTAGATTAGTTGGTTCAATTTAATGTTTTTCTATTTGGTAGTGCTATTAAATTATAGTGCACAACATCACCACCCTGTAGCCTCTGATTTAGCTTTGAGCTCGATGTGTTTTCGTGTGAGCAGAGATTTCCAAGTGTTTGGCGTGAGCAGAGATTTCAAAGTGTTTTCGCACATATTGCTTTGGCTGTTGGTTCGGAAAGGAGAAAAAAATATATAAGTGATACGCATCTATGGTGAGTAAATATGTGCCTCTTTTTTATTAATGTACTAGCGGGAAGTACCCGGCATTGCTCGGGCGAAAAAGGCTGGACTTACACACAGATATTGATCCACACACATAGAAACACATCGACTTAGACGCACACATACATATATGGTTAAACCCAGGATGGATCGTTAGCAGGCCAGCCTAATTGTTTCTAACCGGCGAAGATGTTCCATTAGGGGGGTGCACGTTTCGCAAGCATAGAGAAGGGAGGGAATTAACGTGGCCGAGAAAACCTGGAGCTTCATGCGGAGCGAGAGACCAGGTAGCTTCCACAGTGAAACGCAGCCGATGAAAATATAATGGCGCTCGACTGATTTGGAGTGAGACCTCTGCTGTTAAACCGGAGATGGTCATGAGCACACTGGCCAGGTATGGGAATCTCGGCAATCTCTCCACAACTGCCGCATCACCAATTGTGAGTTGTGGGGGTGGATTGTTCCATGGTACAAAATACCCAGGCAGGTGCTTAGTTTTGGTGGGGCTGATGGTAAGGCCCCACCTCTTAGTGGCAAGCTCCAGGTTCTGCAGCAGTGAGCAGCAATCACCAGAGCAACGGCATACATAACATGGTTGAGCAATAGGGAGGCATCCCTTGACCGCACCCGGGCATCGATCAACCTCCCATTGTATGTGTACCATATGGTAATTCCTCGGATACGGCCATTGAAGACTTCACGAAATACGTGGTCAAAAGATATGTAAAATAATGTGGAGGCAGAAGACATCCCTGTCACACCCCAAGGTGTAGAGGGAATGGCTCTGACTGACGGCCACGTAGATTGACGTGGGGCCGCTCACCATCATGAAGGTCCTTAAGGATCGTGAGCAAAGTTTGATGGACTGCTAAAGCATGAAGAACAACCCAGAGGCCAGGCCTACTGATGGTATCATAGGCCTTGAGCAGGTAAATAAAGCACATACATTCACTCACACGCACACATGAACCTACAGACACGCAAAGAAATTGACTTACACTGACATGGAGCCATGCACACAAAGCGACTAACACAGACGCCCATGGACTGACACAGACACATCGACTCACACACACAAACACATGGACTTATACACACACACCTATGGACTCACACATGCATAGACATGCACTTTAGTTACACACACATGGAGTTACACACACATATATCGACATACACACATACAGCGACTCACACACACACATCGACTCACACACAGACATACGTGGACTCACACACACATTGACGTAAACACACATGTACTTACACACACACATATCGACTAAGCCACACATGGAGTTACACATACATAGATTGACACACACATTTCCCTACACACACATAGACATATGGACTGTGACACACAGACATCTACTTTAGATACACACACATGGATTAACACACACACATCGACTGACACACATAGACACACAAACGCACATTGACTTGCACACTCAGATGGAGCCATGCACACAGACTCACACACACGCATTCACTTAGACACACACACAGCGACTGATACGCACACAAATGGACTGACACACAAACACTTGTACGTACACACACACACGGGACGTTGTCCATTTGAAAAAGACAGACACACACATGGACTTACACACAGACATGGACCCACACATAGAAACCCATCGACTTACACGCACACAAACACAAATGGACTCACACACACAGACATCGACTTTAGGGATACACATGTAGTTTCTGCACACGAACATTATAATAGTAATATTTGTAAAGTTATTTGTTTAATAATAGTAAACAATAAACCTCAGTTCTTAGCGAAAGATGCAATAAAATTGTACTTTACATTGGCGTGGTGTTGCCTCGTCACATGCAGAGCCCTCGGCCTCGCCTAGATTGGCAAGCCGGAGGAGGTGAGACATTGCCAGGCTGTGGGCTGGGCCGCTACCCCCCCACCATCCCCCCCGCCCGAGGAAGAACAATACTATGTAGAGCTTTAATAATATGAAATTAATATCTAAGGACTTTATAGCAGTAACTGCACGCATTGTGGTGGGGGGGAAGAGGACATCACACTGTGAAGAGAAATCGGCAGCATGATGTGTATATTTATTCCATGTTAAACGCGTAAAATAAAATGTCCCCCGTGAGCTGGAGTGAATGCGCATCACTTGGCAGGGTCCGCCCCCCCCCCAGGCAATTGTCGTGAGTTGGTACGGTCGATGTCGCGCAATAAGTAAATAATTAAAATAAGAATGCCGCTAATTCGTTAATTAAACGACTTTAAAATCTACGGACGTGAAAATGGAATAGCCTATTCCCAACAAAGGGCTTAGGGCATGCCGGCTTGCAAATTATTTCGGTCTTATACCCCACCGTCCGAGAGCCAAATCCCCCGCAAGCGCGAGCGCGCGGAGTCTTTTACATATAAGAGAAGAAGAAGAAGAAAAGAGAATAAAAGAGAAAGAAGAAGAAGAAAGAAAAGAAGAAAGATAATCTTGATTCTTTCGGTAAAGTCACGTAGATAGAAAACAAACATTAATATTGGTCGCAAAAGCCTACGTGTTAAATTGACAAATAATCAAATTAGAATTATAATTATTTTTTTTTTACTTTTTTTTTCTATCTACGTGACTTTACCGACAGAACCAAGAATATGAATTCCTTGCAGTCACGAAAGTTTTAAGCAAAAATTGTATTAACGTATGTTTACATTTCCTTATTTGTTATTAGTTCAAGTAATGATGATAATGATGCTTAATGTTTTATTATTACAGTTGTGATGGGGGAATGTTGGCTGAAATTCTACCTTTTTCTTGGGACAGGCTGCTAGGGGGGGGGGGGTGATTTAAGTAATGCCTCTTCAAGAGAACTCACTCGAGACCGATGGATTTGCTAATTCGTATTGGTCACCATTCCACCACGACAGCAGCGTCGCTGTCCTTGGTGGCGACTATGCGATGCGATTGCTGATTGTTGGTTCTGCAGTGGAAAAAAATATACGTAAATCTATATATATAAAATCGTGAATCTGTCTGTCTGTGTGTCGCCGGACCATACGCACTTTCATTGGACGGCGGTTGCCCCTGGCAACGGGTAGCGACGCCTTCGCCGCTTTCATTGGACGGCGGTTGCCCCTGGCAACGTGTAGCGACGCCTTCGCCGCATTAACACGCGACTCTGAGGTAAATTCATCAAAGTTTCACGTCCTCTTCACTCCCCCCCCCACCACAATGTGTGCAATTACTATTATAGGGTCGGTAGATTATAAAATTATAGCGATTAGACAGTATTATTGTAGCGCGGGGGGGGGGGGGAGCGCACCCGTACCCAGCCTCAACCGGGTGGGAAAATCAGGCGAGGCTGGAGGCTCTGCACGGTGCTAGGCCTCGACACCCACCACGCGACTCTGAGGTAAATTCATCAAAGTTACACGTCCTCTTCACTCCCCCGCCACCCCAATGTGTGCAATTACTATTATAGGCTCGGTAAATCATAAAATTATAGCGATTACACAGTATTATTGTATCGCGGGGGATCGGCGCGCCTCACTAAAACCCTACAACGGATCGGCGCGCCTCACTAAAACCCTACAACGGATCGGCGCGCATCACTAAAACCCTACAACCGATCGGCGCGCCTCACTAAAACCCTACAACAGATCGGCACGCCTCACACAAACCCTAGAACGGAACGGCGCGCCTCACTAAAACCCTACAGCGGATCGGCGCGCCTCACACAAATCCTACAACGGAAGCGTAACGCATTGTAGTGTCGTGGTTAGCGCACCACGCTACGAACCCGGCGACCCGAGTTTGATTCCCACTCACGGCCACCACCGGTGACCATTATTTGAACCGGACCTGGGCCTCCCCTAGGTCGACTCAGCCTCAAACGAGTAACTGGTGTGGTGTGTGAACATCGTCACTGGGGAGACAAAGGCGGCCGGGCGTGGTGAATCCGGGTAGTAAAGCTAGTACATACATAATAAATACGTACATGGCTTGTGTCCGATGTTTCCATTGTTGTGCCTAAAATGCACCGTTGTCGATAATATTGGTCGCGAAAATCCGACAATTGTTAAACTGCAACAGATATCGCTTTGGGTTCGTTACACATAAGCTGTTGAGGTTTTCGCCCCTCTTCGAAGCCTGCTTTGTATTCTGGGTTCTTGAATAAAAATAAAACATGTTTTTTTTAAATAAATTAATATTCGGTTGCAACAAATTAATATTACGGACCGTTGAATATTACCGAGCATGACACGTTACAAAGGTTTGTGCCACTATATAACATTTTTACCCTGCTATATATACCAAGTCAGAATTAATTGACTGTGAGGCAGTTGCTCACCAAGTTTAGAGCCCTGAGCCAGCTGTGGAAATTCTACGTGTATATTTCAGGGGGTAGTTTTTCCATAGGACAACCACTGTTGGCTTCCCCACAGAGTGGTGTTTGTTTTGTGGACCCCAGTGTGATATATAAAATAACCTTTTTACAGGTAAGTCATAAATGGCTCGTCTATTTCATCAGGGTTCTGCATTGGGGTGTTTAGTCAACAGCAATGACATTGCGTTTTTAGCTGTGGAAATAAACCAGAAAACATGGAGGAAACCCACACCAAACGGGGGGAAAACGTACATACGCGACACAGTCCGCGCTATGTCAGGAATCGAGCTCAGATTTTTCTTGCTGTGTGGCACAAGTGCAACCATTGCGCAACTGAGCTGGGTCAAGCCATGACCAGGATTTGAACTCAAAACTTCGAGCTGCGAGCCAGATACTCTACGGCTGCACCACCACGCCGGATGTAGCATTTGCACAATTTGGAATTGCAATCTTGGAAAAGTGTACATCATGCTGAGTTCATATACACAGTAATGTAACATCGCCTTCTCATGTATTGCACACGCGTATTTCATAA